GCCATTAAGCTATATTCCCTGACCACTCATCCAGAGACAATCATTACAGTACACTGTTTTTGATGCAGAGTTGGTTGATTTTTGTGACAATCAGTCCAAACATTATAAAAGTCTCACACATGTGGTATCACCATAGTTGGGAGGAGTAGCAGTGTGGACATTTTGTGGGTATTTCTACTGTCCTGGTGCTCCGGAGCCTCCAAAATGAAATAGATAGTCAGGAAATTAGATGCATAATTTATGCCCCTTGCAATCCTGAAGGTGCTCATTGGGTTTAGGGCCCCTTTCTGGTTAATTTAAAAAAAGATTTGCACGTGTGTAAGAAGGTTTATGATTGGCTGTATGTTGGCACCAAACTAGTAGAACTCCCCGCCCCACTTAGAAACAACAATGACCAACTGCTGGGAGATGAAAGACTTCACCATATTGTCCCCAACTCCTGGCCATAGGCCCATTCAATACATCCCTGGCCTTAGGCCTTAAGATTAAAGAACAAAGAAATGTCCACACAACAATGTGTTTTTTCCGCACTTTATGGTGCACTTTACTTTTGAAGGGCCCTTGCAGCAGCAGACTATAGCGAAATTATTCCAGGATGTTTAGCTCCCATGCCCTGACTCTCTAGGCTCCACCCCATCCCATGCCAAAACTTTAAAAAAAAAAATGGCATGGCGTCCCCCCCCCCCAAATTTCATACTAGACCCTTAGGTCTGGTATGGATTTTAGTGGAACCCCATACAAATTTTAAATAGCATGGGGTCCCCCCCAAAATCATACCAGACCCTAATCAGAGCATGCAGGCTAGAAAAGGAGGGGCGAGCAAGTGCACCCCCCCCCCAAACCTTACCAGGCTACATGCCCTGGTATGCATGTTCATTCTCCAAAAAAAGTGTCAAATGTAGCAAAAAAGACATACAGTTTTTGTAAAGAAAAACGCAAAACAAAAATCCAATATCAATCACAACAGCCACAATGAACTACACCCGGCGCAAAAATAAATTTAAAAAAACTCGCTGAACAAGATGCGTCCCTTAGAGAGACACTCGCTGAAGGACAGGTAAACATAGGGGTGATGTCACCCATGACGTCGCCAGGTGACCCCGCCACCATGCTTATCTGTCATTCGACAAGCGACAGGACACACGCCGAATGATAGGGAAAAATGGGGATGGGGTCAACCCGTGACATCACGGGGTGACCCTGCACCCATGTTTACCTGTCATTCAGCAAGTGTCTTTCTGTGTGCCTTAGGTCAGCATTCATCGTGATTGACATTGAATCCACTTCATGGGAAATTTATTTTTGGGGGGTTTAATAAAGAACTTGTCAAAAACTACCACTGTGTTTTCTTTTACTTTTGACAATTTTTTTGGAGAATGATTTTGGTCTAGTATGGATTTTGGGGGGGAGCTCCATGCTGTTTTTTTTTCTAACTTTTATAACCCGCACTTCTGTTGACAGCAGAAGACAGTAGATGAGTCATGGTTGTTAAAGATGAGGAGGCTGCCCATTTCTTAAAAACCAGCTTCTCAATGAACCCGAATGAAATGAATGAATCCAAATTAATGCCAAATTTCGCAATAACGTTTTCTGGATTCGTTCAGATTCATTACTGTCCATTCGGAAATTCAGATACATCCAAATATCCAAAAATTGAATTTTCGCCTGAAAAAACTAATCTTAACGAACCAAATCACACGTGCCTACGACAAACATGTTTATTACATTCTCACCAGAAATGGCAGGCAAAAATGCATCAGCCAGAAGGCATGTTTCAACTATGTCACCACCTGAGTAACAGCACCGTTTTTGAAAAAGATGCCTAGACTTAAAAAGGAAAATGTTATAATAACCTTACCTACTGTCAATGTACAGTAAGACAGACATTTACAGAGGTGGATAGCGCAATAAGTAAATAACACCCCACATGTGCAATGTAAAAACAGGAACCAGTCACAAATTCAGAGAAACCCCGTCTTACCTTATTCACACTGCAGGTTCCTGGAGGAGACTAATCTTTACGATAGTGGGCATGTCCCCAAAGGGGTCTTCAGTGTCTGGGTGCCATATAATTGACCACAGCCTTCAACCTTGATAGCACCCTGTGGCTAATTCATTTCATCATGTGCCAAGGTGAGTGCTGAATGCAGGATCCAGTGCAAAATCAGTCATTCAGACTTTTGTCTAGCCCTAAAAATATTTATCCTGGTATGATCATAAATCATTTATGATTATAGATAACACAAATATTTCCATACTTTAATTTTGACCTGTAAATTAACATTTATCATACTATCAAGTGTACAGTATATATTTTATGTATTTAGGCATTGCTTAATTTTGTTTTAGTCCTGATAAAGGAGGCAGTTTGGAGCCCCCAAAAAACGTTGGCTATCTTTGTAAACTTTTGTGGAATATTCTTTGGAGTATGGCACCCTGATTTTTCATTCAAAGTGGTTAGGAAAATGTCAAGGGTATATCCTGTGCAGAGTGGCCAGTGGTGTGTGCACCTTACATTGATGGTCAGTGGTGAGTATCCCTTTCTGTTGGTGATTAGTGGTGAGTTCTCCCTTTAAGTTGCTATGTTTACAGATTCTGAGGTGGTTTTCCTTTGGACATGCATGCTTCCTGTGCTAGCTTATGATTGACAAATGGGGATGCATGAAGACATATAAATCATCTGGATTATTGAGATATCTACTTTTTTTTATAAAGCCAGAAAACAATGTAGCCTGTCTACTTCTCTCAGCATATTTTTATATTTGTAATTTTCCAGACACTTCACAAGTGGTTGCTGACCATATGTTGCTGTGAGATAACAGCTTAAGAAGACAACATTAGGTTACATCATTTGAGCGCATTTTTTATCATCAGTGCACACTCATTTAGTCACAGGAAGCTGGTTGACGGTTGAGTCTTTCTAATTTTGGATTTGAGAAGATGTAGCATTAACATCCAGTCTTACCATCAATTTATTCATCCAGCCAGGAGATAATTTATTTTAGCCCCTGATTCAATTGAGCACTCTATGTGATATTTTTGCACTGAAAGCAGTTGTAAAAGCTCTTTTATTTTTCCTAAAATAACGTTTTATATTTACCTGCTCTGTGCAATGGCTGATATTGACTGAAGTAATAGCATTGCTGGAACGGTTAAAGGGTAATATTTATAAATCTATTACAAGACAATTTTACAGTACAGTTCATAGAAACCCTGACTAGAAATGATGCTCTGCTGGACCTTGCAATCTCAAAACACGCAGAGCTTATTACTAAGGTTCATATAAAAGAACATCTGAGTAGCCGTGACAACCCAGCAGTGATAACATGATCTCTTTTAATGTTAGCTGTAAACAACAAGCACATACTGGAAAGATAAAAACACTTAGGTTTAGGAGAGCAAATTTTTCAAGGCTAAGGGCTGATCTCCAAGACTTAGAGAATATTGGCAATGAAGAACACAGAACATAAATGGGAATTCTTCAACACAACTGTATATGAACACATTGCAAAACATATCCCCATGGGCAATAAGATTAAAGGCTAAAAATAAAACCTATGTGGCTCACAGCCAACATTAATAATAGCTGTAAATAATAGAAAAAGAGCTTTTAAAAAGTATACAAATAAAGGAACACTAGCATAGTTTAAACGTTGCAAAGTATATAACAGAATATGTAAAAAGGAGATCAAGGCCACAAAAGCTTGAAAGGGAACGACAGGTTGCAAAAGAAAGTAAGACAAACCCCTCTAAATTCTTAAAATATATTATGAGTAAAAAGGTCAGGTCTGCACATGTAGGCTCTTTACAAAATAATCTAGGATTGGTGACTGGGGACAAAGAGATGGCACATTTAATAAATACCTTCTTCAGCTCTGTCTATACAAAGGAGCATGGGGGAGCCCATGTCCATAATGGGGATGATATTGACACAGCCTCAAAGGAACCACTATGGCTCACTATTAATATAGTCCAGAAATATTTAGACAGAATAAAGGTGAATAAAGCACCTGGAACAGATGACACACACCCGCAGGTCCTAAAAGAATTGAGCTCTGTCATTTCAGAGTCATTGTTTCTATTTTTTAAGGACTCTTTAATGACTGGCATAGTACCACTGGATTGGTGTGAGGCCAATGTAGTGCCATATATTTAAAAAGGGATAAAAGTCTTTACCAAGTAACTACAGACCTGCTAGTTTAACTTCCGTTGTTGGGAAGATACTTGAGAGCTTAATAAAAGACCAAATTGATAAGTTCTTGCTAGAATTAAATATTGTAAGTAACAGGTAGCATAGATTCATGAAAGACAGAAGTTGTCAAACAGATCTTCTTTTTATGAGGAGGTAAGCAAAAACCTATACAAAGGAGTGGCTGTAAATATAGTATACTTGGATTTTGCAAAAGCATTTGGTATAGTTCCCTACACAATGTGAATGGTAAAGTCTACAAGCTTTCAAAAAAACAGTTTGTAAATGGACAGAAACTGGCTAAAAGACCGTATTCATAGAGTAGTGGTTAATGATTCATACTCTGAATAGCCTAAGGTTATTAGTGGTGTACCCCAAAGTTTTGTGCTGGGTTCCTTTTAATATATTTATAACCAATATAGGGTCTGGGATTAAAAGTACCATTTCAATCTTTGCAGATGACACCAAGCTGTGCAGTGGAATAACGTCTTTACAGGATGTCCCCAACTAGCAAGCTGACCTCATAGGACTGTTTAATTGGGCAACTATGTGACAAATGAAGTTTAACTTGTTGCCGACCGCAGATAGCCGAATGACGGCTGCACTGCGGCCGGCCAGTTCTGGGTGGACGTCATATGACGTCCCCCCAGAACGCGCTCTCCTGCGCGCCCCAGGGGGCGCGCACCGGCGATCTCCGTGATCGCTGTGTCCTACGGACACAGCTGATCACGTGATGTGGTAAAAGGCCAATCACAGCGGCCTTTTACCACCTGATCAGCGGTGTCCAATGACACGCTGATCAGAGGGAAATGCAAGTGCTGGTTCTCGGCTGCACTTTCCTCACAATGTCAGATCGTGAGGAAAGTACTGCCGAGAAGCGGCAGTTGTCAGAGCGGGGATCGGCACCGATCATCAGGGCACTGATGATCAGTGCCCTGATGATCGGTGCCCAGCAGTGCCACCCGCAAGTTCCGCCCACCTGTGCCCTGCAGTGCGCCCACTAGCTCCGCCCACCTGTGCCCAGCAGATCACCCACCTGTGCCCAGCAGTGCACCCACCTGTGCCACTCTGCAATTTCACACACCTGTGCCCAGAAGTGCCACCCACCTGTGTCCACCCACCAGTGCTGCCCACCAGTGCCACCCACCAGTGCAGCCCAGCAGTGCTGCCAGTCAGTGCCACCAGTCAGTGCCCAGCGGTTGTGCCAGTCAGTGCCGCCAGTCAGTGCCCAGCAGTGATGCCAGTCAGTGCCATCTATCAGTACCCATCATCAGTGCCGCCTATCAGTGCTGCATATTAGTGCCGCCTATCCGTGACACCTCATTAGTGCTGCCTATCAGTGCCGCCTATCCGTGCCACCTCATTAGTACTGCTTATCAGTGCCCTTTAGTGCTGCCTATCAGTGCCCATCAGTGCCGCCTCACAGTGCCCATCAGTGCTGCCTCATCAACGCACATCAGTGAAGGAGAAAAATTACCTGTTTGAAAAATTTTATAATAGAAACAAAGAAACTTTTTTTTTTTTTTCAAATTTTTGGCAATTTTTTATTTATAGCACAAAAAGTAAAGCGCCCAGTGGTGATTAAATACCACCAAAAGAAAGCTCTATTTGTGAGAAAAAAATGATCAAAATTTCATATGGGTACAATGTTGCATGACCGCGCAATTGTCAATCAAAGTGCAGCAGCGCTGAAAGCTGAAAATTGGCCTGGTAAATAAGGGGGTATAAGTGCCTGGTAGGCAAGTGGTTAATGTTGATAAATGTAAAGTTATGCACTTAGAGGCTAAAAGGATCTGGAAGTCCCGGTAGATCATAAGCTTAAAGTGGAGTTTTTGAGTTTAATAAAAGTCAGCAGCTATAAAAACTGTAGCTGCTGACGTTTAATAAACACACACTTACCTGTCCCGTGCTCCAGAGACGTACTCACCCATGCAGTCCCTTCTCTCCTTCTGTCCTCCATGGCACCAGCATCTCTACTGTGGGAACCAGGCTGTGAGAGCTTGCAGCTTCACAGCCTGGTACCCACTGCGCATGCGCGAGTCGTGCCATGCCTCCTGATTGTCCATGTTACCATGGCAACAAGCCCCAGCCCCGCATAGGGAGCACGGCCTTTGTCTCTCATGGGCACGGAGCACGGGAGAGTGGGATCGTGCCATGCCCATGGAGACAGGGAGGGGGGTCATGCATGCAGGCCCAGCAGGGGAGCAGACTTTCTGGTGCTCGGCCAGAGGAGCAGGATGCCGCCTCGGTAGGGGGGCAGATTGCTGGTGGCAGCAGAGTGAGGGGATGCTGGGGGGTGGGGGTGGCAAGCAGTAACCAGGGAATGAGGGAAGACTAGCTCTGCGACAGGGTTGTTTAAATTTAATGGTAGCAATGGCAATAGTGGAGATACATATGTAGATCTTTGGTGCACACTACTTTTTACAACACAAGTATGTGGTCATGTGCTGAAAAGAAAGGGCAGCTTTGCATGGGTCAGCAATAAGTGTGCAGGACCCTGAAATAAATAGGAGCTAGCAAAAAAAAAACACCCTCCCCTCTGCCACAAAAAAACCCCCTGAAACATTAAATCCCAACACTATTTTAACAGAGAAGAACAGAAGAAAAAAAATGGATGAACATGAAATAAATATAGCACAGTTTGCAATGTATAATAATTAACTCTTCATACTGTCAGCATTCCCAAAATTCTGTCAATAAACAAACAAATCACTAATGGGAACCCACTTTTTTATGAAGAGGAGGTGGCATATGACACACTCCTATTATTTGGCCACCAGATCAAAGTTAAAATGCCAAGGAATGCATATATACAAAGTAAAATATAAATGTAAGACAGGGGCACTCACTATTGTTTGAATAACAATATCATAAGTTGACAATAAAGAAATAAGAAATTCCACCTACAGTGTCATACAAAACCTGAATGCCCCTGGAAGACATCTTTTGAGAAGAAATGTACGTCAGTCGGCAGGCCGAGTGCAGCAGTGACATCAACACTCACACCATAAGTGTTTTTCATGCAATGCTCGTTTGTACATGCTTGCTGAGTACTGGCCTTTTTTTTAAAAGAAATGCTTCAACCTAAATACTGCACTTTGGAGCCTTTTCTGTGTATTTTCCTACAACTTGGCTGAGTTGTTAACTATATAGCTGGTGTTTGGATCCTTGCTGCTCTTTGGATCACACATTGCAGCACTGTGAGACCTCTTGGTCTGTAGTCTTGGTAAGCAGTTTGATGTGATGGTGGAAGAGCACCTGAAGTGAAAGGTTATTCTTTAAACACAAGTTGCAGGTTTTGGTGTGTCAACACTTAAGGACTTTGATTTCTTTACTGTAAATTTCTGATTGTTGTTCACACATATGTTTTCATAATTAAGAGTTTAAAAGAGCTAGAACACCTCTTATTTGATTCAGGAAGTGCATAGGGTTACAAAGAATTCAGCCTGCCGAATTTCTGCATTAACACACCAGGAGTGCGAACCTCAAACACACAGGATGCACCTCAAACCCATAGTAGTGGTAAATCAGAACCTCATCTCCACATAAGACAGAAAGTAATAAAGTCACAAAGAAGGAGTTGAACACACTAAAACAAGAAAGTTCTACTCAAGAAAGAAATCAATGGACAAACCTCAATAAATGGCAACAGGAAAAGTGTAAATACCACACAGATGGGAATCTGTGGAAGAGAGGGACACCAAGTGATGAGCAGACGACATACAGTACAATATATAGCTCTTGGAAAGCCCAGAGAAGAGCATGCAAGAAGGATAGTGCACAGGCACAGATATAGAAAGGGCAACACATACAAACAATCTACATTTTTAAATCTAATCTGCAGCCATATCCTCACATCCATCCTGGATTGACAGTGGACTATATGTCTAAATGACAATATGACCCAAATTAATTAAATATTATACACTGCAAGGCTACAATTTTCTTTATGAAATCTATATTTTCCATGGTCAGTCCACATGGCCTAGATTCACTGCATATTATAAACTAGAGGACTACAGCTCTAATTTCTAAAATATATTCTTCATGGAAAAATCCACATTACTAAGCAGTATTTGTCCTCACCCTTCTGACACACCAAATTTAATGAATTCCTGAAATGGGCACCCATTTTCTGGTGATATAATAACGCATCAATGTTTGTGCAGTTTATAGGATAAGAAAGAAAGTTCTCAGTAGGATTAAAGAAGGTCCCTTTCACACTGACTTCTAAAGCAAGCCAACTAAACACAATCATTTGCTACTGTTTCTGTGTTTTGATAGCTTACACGCTATCAGCAGGATTCCCAAGCACAATTCTTTAGATGCACATTATTGCCTTACATAACCTTCAGTATGACAGAAAAAGCAGTAGACTAGTTGAAGAAACCTGCATCTGGCATACTTTTTTCACAGAAACATCTCAGCAAGATGGATACATTTTCATAGAGGAGATAGTAAAATAAAAAATATATATATTTCTAACTAGGTCTGCTTTTTTAGGTAGAGATACCCTCTTGCCTGCCAGCTCACTTGTCTGCCAGAAATTAACAATAATGCGTTATTTGTTTCAGCCTGTGGCTGTTAGTTTAAAAGGCACCAAGTTCTTTTACACCACTCATGGAAGTGTAGGCATCAGTAATCTTTAAAGTGGTTGTAAAGGTATAATGTGTTTTACTTTCATGCATTCTATGCATGAAGGTAAAAAAACCTTTTGTGTATAGCAGCACCCCCAGCCCCCTAATACTTACCTGAGCCTCCTCTCGATCAGCAAGAGTCTCTCCCACCTCGTTGGTTGAGACAGCAGTAGGAGCCATTGGCTCTGGCTTCTTTTGAGCACAGCCAGTGAGCTAATGAGGAGAGAGCAGGGGGCAGGATCTAGCCGCACTCTCTGTGGCTGAATGGACAGACAGAGCAGCGGCTTGGGAGCAAGCCTGCTCAGGTGCCCCCATAGCAAGCTGCTTGCTCTTGTGGCACTTGGCAGGTGGGAGGGTCAAGACTCAAGAACAGGAGGATCAGGGCCTTTACTATCATTTTAACTGCATCAAACAGGAGTTTTAAGTTAAAAAAAACTGATCAGGGTTAAAAGAAGTTATTAATTATTATTATACAGTATTTATAAAGCGCCAATAGTTCGCTCAGCGCTGTACATTACAAAGGGGGACAGAACAATACCAATACAATGTGATACACGAGGGGTTCGAGGGCCCTGCTCTTTCGAGCTTACAATCTAGGAGGGAGGGGGTGGTGGCACAGGAGGAGATAGCTGTGGGGGATGGAGTGGTAGGAAGAGTGGAGGAGGTTGGCAAGTTAGTAGGGGGTGGGGTAGGCTTCCCTGAAGAGATGGGTTTTCAGGGTGCGCCTAAAGGAGAGGAGAGTAGGTGATAATCTGATGGGTTGGGGCAGGGAGTTCCAGAGGATGGGTAACACCCTGGAGAAGTCCTGGAGGCGGGCATGGGAGGAGGAGACCAGGGAACTAGAGAGAAGGAGGTCTTGTGAGGAGCGGAGTGTGCGTGCTGGGCGGTACTTGGATATTAGGTCAGTGATGTAGTTCGGGGCAGTATGGTGGACAGCTTTGTACGTCAGCGTTAGGATTTTGAATTTGATCCGTTGCGCAATCGGAAGCCAGTGGAGGGATTGGCAGAGGGGGGTGGCGGAGACAGAGCGGTTGGAAAGGTGAATGAGTCTGGCAGCCGTATTCAGGATCGACTGAAGCGGGGATAGCCAGCGGCGAGGCAGGCCAGTGAGGAGGGAGTTGCAGTAGTCGAGTCGTGATATGATGAGAGAGTGGATGAGCTGTTTAGTGGTTTCTGGGGTTAGGAACGTGCGGATTTTGGCGATGTTGCGGAGGTGGAGTCTGCACGAGTTTGTTAAAGATTGGACTTGGGGCTGGAAGGATAGGTTGGAGTCCAGAATGACACCCAGTACTCTGGCCTGCAGGGTGGGTTTGATGGTAGCGTTGTTGGATGTGACGGAGAAATCAATGGGGGGTGGTGTCCGGGCTGGGGGGAAGACAAGAAACTCGGTTTTGAAGAGGTTCAATTTAAGGAAGTGGAGCGACATCCAGTCTGATATGTCGCTCAGTAGGTGTGTGATTCGGGCTGAGACCAAGGGGGTGAGGTGGGGGGTTGAGAGATAGATTTGTGTGTCGTCGGCATAGAGGTGGTAGTTGAAGCCGTGAGAGTGTATGAGTTGGCCAAGGGAAGAGGTATAGATGGAGAAGAGAAGGGG